TTGAACGAACCAAATATGTTCATTGATATTTTATTTCACAACAAAAATTAATTATTTCTTTAAATTCTATAGTGTGGGTTATAATTGAGCTATTTTCAATCTAATCTAGCTTCGATAATCCTTTCAAAGAGAGAGAGTGAGACAGAGTTTCTACCAGTAAGGTGGCAAATATAGAATCATTCAACTTTCATGTACCCCTTAAAGCTAGCTGATTCCTATCTTCATCGCAGTCATCGCTTCTACTATCGAAAAGGTGACTCCGATCGTAATACAGTCATCGCTTCTACGTCATCGTCTTCGGTTTATCTCCCTTTGAACCGCGACTTCGAACGGGTTAGGTCTCAGAATGATTGTTCAGTGTGCGGTCCGGTGTTATCTTTCAGGCGGCCACAAGCAGATGTCGATGTTGGGGGAAGCAGAATCCTCGATCATCCCTTTAGGTGTTCCCGTGTGTGGGTTTCCTTTTCTTGTACTCTCTGTTTCTCCTTCCCTCTCATTTCTTTTCCGATCATCGCATTAGTTCTGTTTTTATATAATTGATTAATTAGAGGCCGGCTTCTGGCCTTCTGTTCCGGGGGACTATCGTTAGAATTATAATTGGTCTGCGGCCTGGGGTCTTGGGCCTTGGGTCAGTGGCGGGGCATGTGTTGGCCCTAATGCTGATACGAGTATCCTTCATTGTGTGTCGGCAATGCTGCCCTGTCGGCAGCTTGTTTGTTCTTCGGTTGCCCAAATTGATTTTATTGACTTGTAAATGATGTTGAGTGCCGGCCAGAGTCCGGGTCCCTCTGCCTATCCTATTCCTTCCTTCCTTCCCTCTGACTGCGTTTGCTGCTGCTGCCTGGCTTCCGCACACTTTGCCACGCCCATGAGGCTCGTTAATCTAGGATTGCACCACCAACACCACCACCGCCGCCACCGCCACCGGATCCTTCTTCTTCTGTTCCTTCCTCCGCAAATCGATATCCAGTTTGCATATTTAATTTATTGATTTCACGCGGCCATTGCAGAAATCACCATGCCACTCGCTGATGTTGCCGTTGCCCCCTGTCCACGGTCTCCCGCTCTTTGTGGCGCCGTTGCAGCATTAACCAGAGTTCAGCAATAATTACTTTTTGTAATTAGTTGCAAGTCCAAAGAGAGAGACGCGTTCCGGGAGCCGGGTGCTCTGGGTGGCTGGACGAGGGGCATAAAGATTGATAACGAGCTAATGAATGTAAATTTCATACGTGGCCTGTCAGTCAGTACGTCAGTCCATCAGTCCGTCAGCGGGGCAGTCAGGAGAACAGTGGGCCTGGGGGGTGGGAGGGGTGTGGCATTGCCTCGTCATTTATGAGTTGCAAAAACCTTCTCGGGAGCCCTGCAACTTAAATTAAATTTCGCGCTAAGCTCGGCTTCCGTTTCGCTGGTACTCGTGCTTGGTGGTCGCAGAAGTCTCTCAAGGTACAGTCGGCAGTCCCTATGGTAGAACAAGGAATTCAGAACTATGGAAGAGAACTATGGATGGTAAATATATTGACAGCTAGTCGGAAATCTGTCCATGGAAGATAGTATACAAAACAGAAAATATTCGATATGTAAAATAGTATTTTCTACTGGTAGGGTAATACAAATATTAAGTCGAATTAAGAGTGTGAGTCCCTAACTCAAACAAACAGTCTTTGGACCCGCAGTAATGTATATCTTATTACTGATTTTTACACAATGTGAAATTTATTTATTCCTTATCATTTCTCGTGAATCTTCTCTACTGTACTCCATCGCACCCCTGAAAGGGGTATGCAATTCGTACATATGGTTAGAATCCCTTATGACATGCCCTCCCGGGAAAACTTTCCTCTCTGTCCTCTCCTGTCAATCCCCACTGTACCCACTTAAGGGACCAGCTATGGAGGTGGAGCGGGCCAATGCAATTATGCAGCAGGGGCTACTTGCCAACAACATACATATATTGGTAATTAAGTAGATGGCTTGAGGTTCGAGGGCACCACTGCCCCCAAAGGAGGAGTGGACAGCGGAGAGATCTTTCCACCCCGTTCCCGTTTCGCTTTTCCCGTTCATCTCCGGGACTGTGGGAAGGCGGGAAGGTGACGTTGACAAATGGGTTCATCAACAGCCCGAGTAGCAGCAGCGGTAGCTCCTTCTTTCGGGGATGGGGATGGGGATGGGGGATGTGAGATGTAGATTCGGTGGGAGAAGAGCTACTAAGACAACGGCGGGAAAGGTGGATGGGAATTAAATTTTGTAAAGTGAAAAGCGATTTATTTTTCGCCATTTGTGGCATGGTGGCTTGGTGGCTTGGTGGCTTGGTGCGGTCGTTTAATAAACAATTTAATAGCGCGCATAAATTTTTCCAGCCATCATACTTATAATAAACCCATTTGTCTTCGGAACGGGCCAGCGCTCATATGGCCCATGCCCCAAACCGCATGCTGCAGGCGGCATGCCGCATGCCTCATGCCTCATACCTCAACCTCATACCGCTTGCCACAAGGTGAGGAGGGTTATTAAATTATGCGTTTCAAGCGTAAAAATAAACCGTAGCAAATGGGAATATAGGACGCGACGCACTCTTCAGAGGTCTCGCCCTTAACGAGCCCTAATGACAGAAAGAGATTCTTTCTCTCTCTCTCTCTCTCTGTCTCTCTCTGGAGCGTACCGTACTTTCTCCCCACGTTGCGTCGGCTCCAATTAATCAGATATATTCGAATAAATCAAGTGCCATAAAAGTGACACAGCGTGAGAGATGCACAGAGAGCGAGAGAGAGATGAATATTTAATTAAGGCACGAATTAAAAATGCAAATAAAGTGGAACTACCATGGCGACCGACTCCTTTTATTATTAATCGATGGCCTCTCATAATTAGTTGGCCCTAACAAAGGCAACCCATGGCGCGGAGCTCTTTCTTGGGGGTTTTTCTATTAGCTAATTGGAGATCGGGAGACATTGGAGGCTTTGATTGCCATCTAGGGGGGGAGCCCAGACGACGCGTGCTAGGAGGGAGCCCTCTGCCCCCCCTCTCTCTCCCCCATCCATCCGTTTCTTATCTGAGCCTCCGCCGACGAGCCACCTCTCACATGTATCGTATCATAGAGGATCTCCCTCCATTCGATTCTTATCTTCAAGAAGTAACAACATTCGGTATTACATTCTGGGACATCTTCAAATGAAACCGACAGCAGATGCAGGGGTGGGGTGGGTTTGGGCACAGAGACATCTGCGTTCAGACCCATTTAACATGTCGAATCAAATCCAAAACGAGGTCATCTAATTGTTGCTCACTTATTTATTTATTTCTAGCGTAAAACGACGGACAAATTGATTATAATTGAATATGATTGACGTCCGTTTTGGTGGCCCGATATCTTTTGGGAGCGATAATCTCTCGCAGGGGAATGGAGGGGTGTGGAGTGGAAACCCCATTCAGGTGAGCGTAAGCCACGACCTAATCACAGTCATGTCGCTATCACCTCAAACACAAGCTTTTTAATTAAGCAAAAGTCGGAGGTGGAGGTGGAGGTAGAGGTGGAGTGGTGGGGATTCCAGAGATCGTTGATTTAGCGATAATTTCATTAGCTATTTGTCATCGGGGGTCTGGGCTTTATAGAGCGCCTGCTTAGCGGGAAAGAAAGGTTCCTGGGAATCCCAGGAACAACTTAATTAAGGCCATCGATCGGTCGATAGAGAGCGGGAGAGATCTCGCGACCGTTTTTGGCTGCGATCGCAGGCATCAAGCAATTTGTATTCAGGTATCACACAGCAACAAGTCATTTCACACTTTGATCACGGAGCTGCAGCTGCAGGAACATAGTCTGTGGACCTGTGAACGGGTCTGGCCTGGCCTGTGCCAAGCCTTGGCCAGGCCTTAAAAGGATCTGCGAGTCTGCGATTCAGCCAAGTTTGGAATGCGCTGCCTTGCATATATTAGTCGATTCTGTCGATTCTGTCCATTCTGTCCATTCTGTCGATTCTGGTGTCCCGCACCCGCATTCGTATTCGTATTCGCATTCGCATCCGCAAACACTCGAACCTGCACCTTCGCAGTAATTAACTTGTTTCAATAATTACGCATGCGCATTTGCACATGTTGCATGCCCCAGCCAGGAGTGTCTGTCTCTGCCTCCTTCCATGCCCATGCCCATGCCCCCTCCACTTGTTACAGCTTGCAACAAGATTTTTGCATTGCGTGTGCTACGCACTGCCAGAGTCGAAGCCACTCGGCAGACTCCACCGCACACAGGGGTATGATAGCTATCAGCTCAAGTTTGTTGTAAGAAAGGACTTGGGAGAGGATACTCCTTTGAGGGATTCAGAAGTGGAGATTGCCATAAGGTATTGATTGTGCGATCTGTCAACCAGCAACGTCCTCTCAGGGAAGGATTTGATAACTCCAAATCGGAATTGCCTAGGAAGGCGATCGGTAGTGGGATTGTAGCGGATTTCCCTATAATACTTCCTCATTTATTGGATCAGAAACAAGGCTTGCAATCTTCAAAAAGCTGACCTTAACTAATCGAAGTGAGAATTTGAAACTCAAGGGAATCGTATTAGCTTTTCTATTACTTTCAGTTTGTTCTAGCTTGCTCCTTCCTTAAAAAATCAACCACATGTACTTTCTATATACGATTTTATACCTAATCCTGTTCCATAGAGTATCATTGCCTTCGTTAGTTGCCCAAAAAAGACCACAAGACAGACCAATTCTGTTGGAATGTTTGTTTTTGGGCAGCAAATTTATGCAGCAGCCGCCGCTTATTAAGAATTCGTTGGCCCATGCTCTGGTCCGTGCTCTGGTCTTCGTGCTCCTGGCTCCCCGCCCCAATACGGAGTCCAGGGTCTACTCTCCTCAGCGGACGCTGTCCGTTCGAGGTGGCAGTGGCACTTAATTATTGATAGCATTACAAACGCGGTTCAGTGGGTCACGGCGTGTACCCGTCAGTCGCGGACCAAAAGAGTCGGGCAGAAGCCCTTTGAGATCTCCATTTCAGGGCTGGGCTCCACTATTCACAATTTATATATTTCGAATGTTGGGAATATTGGCAAACATTTGAACGTAACACTGTATACAATCTAATGACGGTGTGGTGTAATTTTGATGGGGCTTTGGGGGATAGAATCGTTGGGGGGACTACTGCATCATGCTGGCATCGATGTCCTGCACCTCGACGTTCTCCATGCCGGGCATGCTCTTGACCATTTCGTTCATCTCGGCAGCACTTGTCGAGGAACCACCATCGCCGCCCATGTCTCCGAGTCCGGCCATGCCATCCATTCCAGGCATACCTCCCATGCCACCCATTCCGCTGAGAGCAGACAATGCATCCATTTCGGACATTCCGCCCATATCGTCCATGCCTCCCATTCCTCCGGATCCGGCAAGTTTGGCGAGCAGATCTGAGTTTCGGACATCGGTGATGACCACCTCGGTGGTGCCCAAAAGTGAGGCCACACCGGCGGCGTCCGAGATGGCTGTGCGCAGCACTTTGGTGGGATCGATGATGCCCTTCTCCAACAGCGATCCGTACTCATTCTGCATGGCATCGTAGCCGTAGTCCCCGGTGCCGTTCAACACCTGGGCCACCACCGTGCCGGCATCCACTCCGGCATTATGGGCAATGGTGAAGCTGGGCATGCGCAGGGCCTGGCAGACGATATCGATTCCCTTCTGGTGGTCCTTGTTCGCCGGCTTCAGTCCCTCCAGATGGGGAATACAGCGGAGGAAGGCGGTGCCGCCGCCGGGCACAATCCCCTCCTCGATGGCCGCACGCGTAGCGTTGAGGGCGTCGGTGACGCGGTCTTTCTTCTCGCTGACCTCCACCTCGCTGCTGCCGCCGATATGGAGCACGGCCACGCCCTTGGTCAGGGCTGAGAGGCGCTGACGTACACGATCGGACTGTTCGGCCTTGGTCTTCGGGTCCTGGAGCTCGTCCTGGATCTGCTCGATGCGCATCTTGAGCATTTCGGGACGGGCCTTTCCATGGAGCAGCATGGTGCTGTCCTTGGTGATGATGGCCTCGCCCACCTCGCCCATATCCTCCAGCTTGGCATCCTCGATCTTAAGGAAGTTGACGTCATCTCCGAAGATTGTGGCTCCCGTGGCGGCTGCGATGTCCCCGAGCAGCTCTTTGCGCTGGTTGCCGTAGCTCGGGGACTTCACGGCACAGATCTGGAGATCCAGCTTGATTTTGTTGAGAACAAGGGCGTTCATGGCCTCTCCGCTGATGTCCTCGGCGATGATGATGAGGGGTCGGCGCTTGCGCAGCGACTGCTCCAGACCCCTGAGGATCTGCGAGAGCGAGGTGATCTTCTTGAGACAGATCAGCACCAGGGCGTTGGCGAACTCCACCTTGCCCTTGGGGGTGTTCACGAAGAAGGGCGACAGGTAGCCAGTCTCGAAGCGCAGTCCCTGGATGACATCCAGCTCGTCCTTGAGGCGCTTGCCCTCCTTCACGGTGATCGTTCCCTTGGGTCCCACGCGGTCCGTGGCCTCAGCGATCAGGCGCCCGATCCCAGCTTCGCCATTCGCCGAGATGGTGGCCACCTGCTCGATCTCCTGGCGCGTCTCCACCGGTCGTGACATCTGCTTGAGCTGCTCCTTCACGGCCTCCACGGCCATCAGCACGCCTGCTCGGACCTCCAGAGGATTTCCACCTTTGGAGAACTGCTGGAACCCCGCCTTGACGATGGCCCTGGCCAGCACTGTGGCAGTGGTGGTGCCATCCCCGGCCGCTTTGTTGGTGTTGTCGGCCACATCCTGCACCAGCCGGGCGCCCATGTTCATGTGCTGGTCCTTCAGCGCAATCGCACGGGCCACCGTATAGCCGTCCTTGGTGATCTTCGGCGAGGTCCAGGGGCGCTCCACGATCACGCTGCGTCCCTTGGGACCCATGGTCACGGCCACGGCATCCGCCAGCAGATCCACGCCTCGGATCATCATCGAACGCGCCTCATTACCGAAGCGCACGTCCTTCGAGTACAAGCGAAGGAAATTGCGATTTCCGCGCAAAGCGCCGCGCACACAATGGCGAAACATTTTACAAAGTAGCGAAGAAAATTGGGAAAGTTCGGGAATATATTTGATTTGATTTTTCTATAATATTTCGACCTCGAAATGAACACGTTGACTTTACAACTAGAAGTGAGGCAAGCACTACTGAGTGGAGTTTCCAAGGGCCTTGACGTTGCGGGCCTTAGATTGAGCCCTACTAGATCAGAGATTTTGTAATCGATTTTTTGTGTACAAAGTAGACTGGGCTTACGAATTCAACGAGATAAACCCGTAGATACCGCTGGGAAATTCCATGGACCTGCGCTGCGTGGCAGTGACCTCACTCCTTCGAGGAATTTCTCTACTTTACGCACATTTCCAATTAATTTCATTTCCGTTTCGTAGTCACGGCCCTTGCGGAACACATGTTTCAATCTTCAAAAGGTAGCGAAAACATTGAATCAATAATTAAGAAATGTCAAACATGAAACGAGAGGCCCGCGTCATGTGATAAGAAGAGGAACGGAACCTCGGACTATTTTTGGGTGCTCGCGTGACAAATCATAATTGATTGTTCGCTTAATTGAATTGGAGTCTGATAAGTGCGAGTACGAGTACGAGTACTGGCCCCAACATAGTAGGTAGACTGACACAGATCGCCCCACAGATGTCAGTAACTCAGGGCCACCCATCCATCCATCCAGAAGACCCGTGACGACCGACCCACCCGCACCCACACCCGCACGTGACTCACATGACTCCCATAACTCCCAAATCACGGGCAATGTACGAGCACACTAATAAATTGTTAATGGCTTTATCACAGCTCCATGGTGTACGATATAGCCCGATGGATAGCGGTCGTAAAACCATAGAAAACAGAAACATTCAGATAAGCGGAGATTGCCCTCGACTTGGGGCACTTGGGGACTTGTCTCGTACTCATCTTTCCACTCTGCATTCTCCATTCTCCATTCTCCACTCTCCGCATTAGTCACTCGGGGGAATTGGTGGTCTTGTTGTGGTCTCCTCCTGCATAAGGATCGCCCGCCTGTCAGCTGCAAAATCAACTCATCAACATTGACAGCCGTTTCTCCATCTCCATCGCCATCTCTCCGATCGGAGATCGTATACGACAATCGTACAATCGTATCTATATGGCCATTCGCCTTTGCAATTGACGCGTGATTGGCATTCGCTATCCCCATCGAGAGAGACCATCAGCATCCACTTCAACTCAACGTTCTGAGCCCCCCAAAGATAGGCATGCTCGAAACGAGTTCTCCTGAAGATCCAAACCGATGGATCGATGGATCGATCGATGGCTGGATAGTTTTTAAGGTGTCACCTACTTGGTATGGAGAGTGTGCGACCAGTTGACAGTCATTTAGCAATGCATATTCAATTAGTGCTGAAAGTACGGGGCAAAGAAAGGAAGATCTCTTCTAAAGAGTGTATCCTAGACTTCTGTACGTATACCACAACCTTTGGCTCCTTCCTTTCATTTGCTAGAGATCCATTCCTCTGATAAAGACCCACAACTCCATTTCTTTCTAGCTGCATTTCCCGTCGGCTTTTCTTTTCAATCTTCCCTCTTTCTATTCATCTCAATCTGCATTCTGCCATTGTAATCCCCCTGTCTTCTGGTAATCAGAAACCCCAACAAACATTTAAAACGTCCCAGAGGTAGCGTTATTTAATTTGACTCAAAATCAACTCTTCCATTAGGCGGAGGCATCGGTCCAAATTGCAGCGCCGACACCTGCGCCTCACCTGCGCCTCCACCTGGCCGCCCTGTAACCGTAGCCCCAGTGGTAAGCAGTGGTAAGCTCTCTCTTGCCTGCTCCCTCACTCTTTCTGACTCTCTCTGTCTCTCTTTCCACTGATTTAGACACTGCTGTGATAGGCCACTCCCTGCCTTAGGAGTTGGCCAATCGGCGTGATGTCTGAGAGGCCTAAAGAGAGTCGCCGTCTCGCGTTTGTTGCTGGAGTGAGAAGTTGTTCATTGTCGTTGCTGTCGGTCTCGGTCTCGGTGTCGTTGTTGTTGGTCTTTGTGTTTGGTGTTGTTGTCGTCGACAGGCAATTTACATGAAATCAAAATGAAACGTATAAAACAGGGGGACAGGCAGGGAAAATTAGGGGCATAGTCGACCGGAGAATGTGCTGAAAAAAGAGAGAAAACTACTGCAATGGAATATCTGTAAATGATGAAAAATTCATGGATAACTAGAAAATGATTTGAAAATCCCGTCGGATAGGTTAGGTTAGTTATATGTATATTAGAAGGAGGAAATTTACTGAATAATACTTGCAATTTTGTCTGACTTCTGCAGATTTGAGTTCCTTTTCTTGTACTATGTCATGGGGCTTCCACAATATCACAGACAACATCATAGAAATAGGGTTTTCCCTATATAATAATATCTCAAACATATGTATGTTTATTTTCTCTTCTAATCAATCCTAGTCCTCATTACTCATCAAGTTCTTTCAGAGAGGTACACAAAATGCCGACAAGCTTCGCCAGTCATTCCATATACCCCAGTTTGTGGGGCCTTTCTTTCGGGTAGAGCATTTCCATCTTCGAGCAGTCCACTCAACTTTTGTTTACTTAAACTTTTACCATTTTGGGGTAAGTGTTAAAGTGGCCGCCAGTCCCACCAGATCCCTGATATTCCTTGCGCGGATTTCTTGGGTGGGTGGCGGCGGGACATAGACGGAAGGCTCACGGCTTGAGGTCTGGGTCTCTGGTCTCTGGTCTCTGGTCTTGGTTTCGCTCTTTTGATATATTTTATGGTGCCATTGGCAGAGCTGATTGTTTTTTAAATTGTTTTTGCACGCGATTCGTGTTTGTCGGCTTTATGGCTATAATACTCGTACTTGTACCCCCCCGTACTCGTACCACCGTACCCGTAGTCGTTTCCCCAGTCGCAGCCACGACCAACATTGTTGTTTTTGTTGTTGTTTTTGTTATAGTTGTTATAGTTTTTGGTTGTTTCTGGTGTTGCCGTAGCATAATTTAATTTGAATGCATATGGGACCCCAAAGTGGGTAATTGAATAAGTTTTTCTGCTGCCATTTCCAGTTCGTCTCAAATAGGATCGCTATCGTATCGCTATCGCTTTTCGTTTTCGTTGCTTTTTTATAAATTTGATTAGCGCCACGGCGCGAAAATATTTTGCACGGTTCCCGCGCGAATCGCGTGCAGAAATTATGGAGAGTGGGAGCTCCCACTTGAGGGGTGCAAATATGGCAATTTATTTTCTGGCAAGACTACACCGGCCAAAAAAGGGATACCTATTGATGTTTATCTACTGATTTTGCAGTGAAAAAATACCTTACATAAAAGCCCGAAAATACAAATTGGTTTACTTCAAAACTGTTTCAAAATTATCCTACCCTTTGGCATCCCATTGAAATGTTTCACCCTTTTCCCGAGTGTATGAGTTTCCCGTGGGCTGTTCGAACCCCCAATTGATATGTAAACATATTGGATTTTTAATATTCTTGAACACGCCGCTGAGTGGAGGTAAATTTACACACTGGACTCGTGTAAAGTTCAATTTCTGTTGGTTTTTCCTCGATGAATTTCGGGGAATCGCTGGAATAAATCAGCACGCGGCCACGCCCTTCACCAAATTCGATGCCAATTTCTGTGGCTTGTAATCAAAATCGATTTCTCATTTTGACACACACTTCGCCCCGTACAATATGCTTCCCATATTCCCGTGAAATTGAAAGTAATTTCGTTCAGAGAACCGCATGCTCACGTACGAAATGGAGGAAATTGTTCTTAATGTGATGTGATTATTTGTGATCCATTCATTTGGCGCATTATCCGAGTTATCCGTCAAAAAGGTTCGCTTAAGGTCGGACATTTGATTAGAGTAATCTTGTATCTGATTTTCGTTGGGGTTTCTCATTGCTCGGCTGTCATTGAACTTGGGACTCAGACAGTCCCACCAGGCGGAAACGAATTCGAACTCGAAATATATATTTAGCAAGCAATCATGAACGAAACTTGGCTAATTGCCTGAGACCTGTCCCGGACTTTGGCTCATTAATCATGCTGAATAATGCATAATTCTGCTGTGGCTGTGGCTACTTTTTAATTAATTTGATTAGCATTGATCGCTTGAATGCGAATTATGAATCAATTTATGGCTCTGGTGTCTCTGTCTTTGATCTCAGATCTGAGATCTCTCTCCCTGTTTCCGCAGTGGACGCCGAAACGAGTTCGTTGCCTAAGTCTTTTGTTTCTCTGTCGCTTTCCCTCTGGCTGCCAGAGCTGCCAGCATCCGCGCTTTAATCATTCTGACGGGTCTCGCCTCGATTTGCATAATTTTGAACAACGTTTAATGCCGCGACACGCCCCTTAAATGATGCCGCTCCGGCGTGGGCCGCTGCCCCAACGATTCGATTATTGATCGGACAGATCATGAATATGCATTATGGGGCCCATTAATTGGACAGTTCACAAGATTGTTAGCTTCTTGAATGTGGCAGTCGGCTAGAGAGCTAGGCCACACTTGATGTTTAATTACTGCCTTGCAGCAGTGTCCCACTGAAGGGGGAAACTTTGCTGATGGACAGCCCACTTTCTTTGCTCCCATGTAAGTGCCATGAAATTCAATTAATAACCTAATCTATGGACAGGGTGAACCCCCTGGCAGGGTCAGACCTACAGCAAAGGCCATGCCCAGTCATGCTCGGAGCCCTGTTGGAGCTCTCCTCTGGCTCTGGCTCTGGGTCGGAGCCGGACCACCTCTCACCAGATCCGAGACGAGACGAACAAATGTTTGCACAACATACGATAATGATGACAAGCCAAATTAGCTACTAATTTTCACACAGATACTCTCAAGCACACACACACGGATACTTTGAACGTGGGTCGTAGTCGTAGCGCCAGGACCTCACACAGCTGACGTTCGTTAGGGCTCTGAGTGGCACCTCACCGGAAGTGAAGTCGCGCAGGCGAGGGAGATCCAAAGAGTCTCGTTCTGAAATTGCCATAAATCAGCATTTGATTATCCTTTGTCCCGCCTAATTTTACCTCTCCTCTGGATTCCTCCCCTCTGTACTCGTAGCCACTCTTTTAGTTGTCATGTGCGTGTTGGTTTTCAATTTTAATTTATTAATTACTAGGCGGTGCATATGGAGACCAATTCGTTCGCTCGTTCCCTGGAGGATTCCTTGGCCCAGGGCTTCCGCTATTAGCGAAATCTTCTCAGTATCTCCCGTCTCCTTTCTGGGGGATCTGCCCTGTCAGAGATGAGCGGAAAAAGAGCTGGAAAAAGGCCAAAAGAAAGCCCGAAATTGGCTTAGAATCTGCCAAATGGGCGGCGGCGGCAACTGACAGGCGTTCCAGACAACTGCCACTTGGCTACCCAAAATGCAAAGAGAGAGAGACGAGCAGAGAGGATCCCCTCGGGTGGTCAGAGGACGTCACTCAAATTGAAGTCCGGCAAATGAGAATTGCCCGAGACTGGCGAGTGGAGAGCGGGAGAGGTATTGAGGTGAGGCCTGCCCAATCTCCATCATCTCCATCTGGAGCTGAAGCTGAGGCTGGAGTTGTTGGATTTTTAATTAAGCGTGGCCTGCACCCGGGGCCTTTTCGTCAAGTAGCTCACTCGAACTCGAGCTCGAGCTCGGATCGGATCGGATGTGCAACGGATGGGGAGCCGAGTGGCGGGAGTGCTTGGATTGCTGGGAGGTGGATGAGGATGCTGAACAGGTCTTGTTAGTAATTTTTAATTTGAGCTCTTCTGACAGCTGGCTGTCATATAAATTTAATTGAATTTACATTTTTATTAATTGCCAAGTCTGCCCGAGTGCCCGAGTAGAGAGTAGAGAATGAGTGCTACCCGTTGGCATGAATGGAAGATGAGTTGCTCAAGAACAAGCAGAAGCACGGGCCTGCTCTTGCAATGGCCTGGCCTGGCTACTCATCCACTCTTCATCTTCTCTGTGGTTCACTCTCTGAATGAATTTAATTTGAGATGATTTGTTGATGGTTTCGTTGCGGTGATTTCTTGCTGACTAATTTAATGTGATTTTTAAATTGCCAGCAGACTGCAGAGCTTCAGTTTGATGCTGGGACTTTGGCAGCGGCTGAGTGTGTGGCCTGAAGCGGGGCAAGACAGGAGAGAAGACGAGATTGATTTGGGGTCCAGGGCAGGCGGGAGGAAGAACATTTTTACGGAATTAATGAGATGACACGCCTCTCCCTGGGAGACTCCTCTCACACCCCTCCATATCTCTGCCCTACGATCATTATGAACTAATCTAATTTGCAAGCTGTGCGATGACAATCGAACTGCATCATATTCAATATCCCCATTCAGATCCTCCTCCTCCTACAGTGGCTGTCGAGCGCTAACGAGAGACCCTTCCCTGGGACCCTTCTTTCGGGCAGTTTAATTCGCAAATCAAACAACCTCGGGGCAGAGCTCGGAAATTCGCGCATAAGTAAATTAAAAATAAATTTATGTCCAGTCCAGAATCCGGGGGAAAAGGAGGCTGGAGATGGGGCAGTATGTGTAAACGGGTTCCGGACTGGGGCGGGGATCGTTTTCGACGATCGCGAATGCAAATCCAATTAAAATTTCCCAACTTCGGAGGAGGTTTTGGGGGGCTATGGCATGGCTATCGCATCCTGCGACTGGCGCTAAGCCGTAAAACGAAGCTGTGCGCTGATTTAAAACACTGCGGGGCGTTCTTATTGATTAAATACAAATTGCGTTCATTCATCATCAGCCTCGTTCTGGCTGTTTCTATTACTGTTTTTGTTGTTATTGCTGCGTCTGGCAATTAAATTACGATTTGCAGTTTCTGCTCTGCTGGTAATTTGCTTGTTCCGCATATAAAACACAATTAAACTGCCAAAGCAAGCAGCGGCAGGTCGTAAAATGCACTAAGGAGTAAATTCATTTTCAAAATCAATAAAATAGCGGGCACTGTGCTGCCAACTTGTGTGTATTAAGCGTTAACAGAGGATTTGTCTGGGTTAACAGCACATTGAGTGCACGTTTAAAAAAATTCTGATATCGATAAAAATTTATAAATTCTTGAACTTTTCTTTCTTCTTCCACTCTGTTTCGCTCATTTTCAATAAAAGCAAGGGTTTAAATTAAACCAGTCATGTAGAAAATTGATTAATTATTCGTATAAAATTATGTGGGCACGACTGAGAGATCTATTTACCTAGTATTATTCAATGGAATATCAAAATTGAGCAATTTGCTTTTTCGTTTGTTTTGATTGACCTATTTCGCTACATGTTTTTTGTTTGACTTTTTTCGCTAAAACCTCTTTTTACGCAAAATGCAATAAAAGCAAGTATTAAAAATACACCAGTTAAATAGAAAATTGATTCATCAATCGTATAAAATTATGATGGCATGGCTAAATGTTCTATATAGCTAGTAATATTCGTCGGAATATCAAAAACGAAGAATATGTAAAATAGAACTTGAATTCGTCAGTATATTAACGGTATATTTTGAAAATGAGGCGGTATGTTTCGGTATATTTCTGAGGGTCAGACGGTATATTTGATCGATAAATCCGCGGTCACACTGATCTCAATTGCGGAACATAAGGCCGTTTTGAAGCCCAACTGTGGCCCACAACTCCGCCCTGCCTCAGCCAGACCACCAGATCGGCCAGGTGGATCTTAGCCGACCAGATCTTAGCTCGAATCTGAAGAAAACCAAGCTGTATGAGGCCTCGACGGCGGGGTTGATGCAAGCACATAAACGGAGCAGGGCGTGGTGTCTATGATGAGCTTCCATCTGCGTCGCAAAAAGGGTGAGTACCTGCAGATATATTCGTCTCATTTGTCATCTCATTGCATTTCGAACAGGACTGGACCAAACCCTGGCGGCCAAGCTTACACCAGAGGAGTACGTCAAGGATACTCATGCCGTGCCCGGGCTGCCGGAGCTGCTGGATCCTGCATTCCCAACAAGACACGTCTGGACAGAGTATGCGCCACTACGGCAGTGCAAGGGCATCCGCCACTTGCAGGCTTTGTACGTGTCCCACCTGCACGCGGATCATCACATTGGATTGATTGGACTGCTGAAGGAGCGCAGACAGCTGGCCCCGAAGGAAACTCGCTGCTCTTACTTGCGCCGCGGAAGATCGAGCCATGGATGGAGTTCTAACACGGATAGCTCTTGGCGAGACTCCTGACTGGAGAGGCAGTGGCACCATTGGGCATAACTGCCGCCACTGCCAAGTCACCAGTAGGAACTGCCAAGCCGCCAGTACGAACAGCTGCTTAAAATCTTGCGAGACGCTTGGCGATGCTGTGGATGATCGAGTTCAGCCCAACAATCAACAGTTACGGAATGAGAGGAGCAGCAGCAGGGCAAGAAGGTGAGTTCTGGCTGAAAACTTGTGGATAAGCGTGTGGTCGCAACTAATCTTATTGTCCTATGCAGGATGCCGATCAGGATTTCTACTAAAACCAGGACAGTTCGGCCAACTCGTTGCAGTCCTCGGTGGGCATTGATGACTATTGGGATGAGGCTCTGGTCGGCGACTATGGAAGCACTCAGAATGATGACAGCGATGACTTGGACGGGCACAACAACTAGCCACCTATCGATGGGCGTAAGTTCTCTGTTTTCTCTTTTGTTCCACCTACTTATAATCCGTTTGTACAGAGCAAGGAAAAGAACCCGGCCGCAACGAGTTGCGTTACTATTGGCGATCAAGAGATCATGGACTGCAAAGAACAATTCGACAAGCAGCGGCAGGCAACATTACTTGGACCGAGCAGGGCAGTAAATGTAAAAGTTGTACAGCACTATCTTAAAAGCGTGCTCCGGCGGTCTTAAGCCTTCTGCACCATGTTTTACATCATCGGTTTCGACCGGGTAACTTTTCCTTATTTCCCCGTATTCATCTTTTCCATTTATTATTTTTTCTTGGTTCTTCTTTTTTCTACGTACGTGTCCCACCTGCACGCGGATCATCACATTGGATTGATTGGACTGCTGAAGGAGCGCAGACAGCTGGCCCCGAAGGAAACTCGTTGCTCTTACTTGCGCCGCGGCAGATCGAGCCATGGATGGAGTTCTAACACGGATAGCTCTTGGCGAGACTCCTGACTGCAGAGGCAGTGGCACCATTGGGCATAACTGCCGCCACTGCCAAGTCACCAGTAGGAACTGCCAAGCCGCCAGTGCGAACAGCTGCTTAAAATCTTGCGAGACGCTTGGCGATGCTGTGGATGATCGAGTTCAGCCCAACAATCAACAGTTACGGAATGAGAGGAGCAGCAGCAGGGCAAGAAGGTGAGTTCTGGCTGAAAACTTGTGGATAAGCGTGTGGTCGCAACTAATCTCATTGTCCTATGCAGGATGCCGATCAGGATTTGTACTAAAACCAGGACAGTTCGGCTAACTCGTCGCAGTCCTCGGTGGGCATTGATGACTATTTGGATGAGGCTCTGGTCGACGACTATGGAAGCACTCAGAATGATGACAGCGATGACTTGGATGGGCACAACAACTAGCCACCTATCGATGGGCGTAAGTTCTCTGTTTTCTCTTTTGTTCCAAAAACTTATAATCCTTTTGTACAGAGCAAGGAAAAGAACACGGCCGCAACGAGTTGCGTTACTATTGGCGATCAAGAGATCATAGACTGCAAAGAACAATTCGACAAGCAGCGGCAGGCAACAATACTTGGGCCGAGCAGGGCAGTAAATGTAAAAGTTGTACAGCACTATCTTAAAAGCGTGCTCCGGCGGTCTTAAGCCTTCTGCACCATGTTTTACATCATCGGTTTCGACCGGGTAACTTTTCCTTATTTCCCCCTATTCATCTTTTCCATTTATTATTTTTTCTTGGTTCTTCTTTTTTCTACGTACGTGTCCCACCTGCACGCGGATCATCACATTGGATTGATTGGACTGCTGAAGGAGCGCAGACAGCTGGCCCCGAAGGAAACTCGCTGCTCTTACTTGCGCCGCGGCAGATCGAGCCATGGATGGAGTTCTAACACGGATAGCTCTTGGCGAGACTCCTGACTGCAGAGGCAGTGGCACCATTGGGCATAACTGCCGCCACTGCCAAGTCACCAGTAGGAACTGCCAAGCCGCCAGTGCGAACAGCTGCTTAAAATCTTGCGAGACGCTTGGCGATGCTGTGGATGATCGAGTTCAGCCCAACAATCAACAGTTACGGAATGAGAGGAGCAGCAGCAGGGCAAGAAGGTGAGTTCTGGCTGAAAACTTGTGGATAAGCGTGTGGTCGCAACTAATCTTATTGTCCTATGCAGGATGCCGATCAGGATTTCTACTAAAACCAGGACAGTTCGGCCAACTCGTCGCAGTCCTCGGTGGGCATTGATGACTATTGGGATGAGGCTCTGGTCGGCGACTATGGAAGCACTCAGAATGATGACAGCGATGACTTGGATGGGCACAACAACTAGCCACCTATCGATGGGCGTAAGTTCTCTGTTTTCTCTTTTGTTCCACCTACTTATAATCCGTTTGTACAGAGCAAGGAAAAGAACCCGGCCGCAACGAGTTGCGTTACTATTGGCGATCAAGAGATCATGGACTGCAAAGAACAATTCGACAAGCAGCGGCAGGCAACATTACTTGGGCCGAGCAGGGCAGTAAATGTAAAAGTTGTTCTGCACTATCTTAAAAGCGTGCTCCGGCGGTCTTAAGCCTTCTGCACCATGTTTTACATCATCGGTTTCGACCGGGTAACTTTTCCTTATTTCCCCCTATTCATCTTTTCCATTTATTATTTTTTCTTGGTTCTTCTTTTTTCTACGTACGTGTCCCACCTGCACGCGGATCATCACATTGGATTGATTGGACTGCTGAAGGAGCGCAGACAGCTGGCCCCAAAGGAAACTCGCTACTCTTACTTGCGCCGCGGCAGATCGAGCCATGGATGGAGTTCTAACACGGATAGCTCTTGGCGAGACTCCTGACTGGAGAGGCAGTGGCACCATTGGGCATAACTGCCGCCACTGCCAAGTCACCAGTAGGAACTGCCAAGCCGCCAGTACGAACAGCTGCTTAAAATCTTGCAAGACGCTTGGCGATGCTGTGGATGATCGACTTCAGCCCAACAATCAACCGTTGCGGAATGAGAGGAGAAGCAGCAAGGCAAGAAGGTGAGTTCTGGTAGAAAATTTGTGGATAAGCGTGTTGTCGTAACTAATCTCATTGTCCTATGCAGGATGCCGATCAGGATTTCTACTAAAACCAGGACAGTTCGGCTAACTCGTCGCAGTCCTCGGTGGGCATTGATGACTATTGGGATGAGGCTCTGGTCGGCGACTATGGAAGCACTCAGAATGATGACAGCGATGACTTGGATGGGCACAACAACTAGCCACCTATCGATGGGCGTAAGTTCTCTGTTTTCTCTTTTGTTCCACCTACTTATAATCCTTTTGTACAGAGCAAGGAAAAGAACCCGGCCGCAACGAGTTGCGTTACTATTGGCGATCAAGAGATCATGGACTGCAAAGAACAATTCGACAAGCAGCGGCAGGCAACATTACTTGGGCCGAGCAGGGCAGTAAATGTAAAAGTTGTACAGCACTACCTTAAAAGCGTGCTCCGGCGGTCTTAAGCCTTCTGCACCATGTTTTACATCATCGGTTTCGACCGGGTAACTTTTCCTTATTTCCCCCTATTCATCTTTTCCATTTATTATTTTTTCTTGGTTCTTCTTTTTTCTACGTACGTGTCCCACCTGCACGCGGATCATCACATTGGATTGATTGGACTGCTGAAGGAGCGCAGACAGCTGGCCCCGAAGGAAACTCGCTGCTCTTACTTGCGCCGCGGCAGATCGAGCCATGGATGGAGTTCTAACACGGATAGCTCTTGGCGAGACTCCTGACTGCAGAGGCAGTGGCACCATTGGGCATAACTGCCGCCACTGCCAAGTCACCAGTAGGAACTGCCAAGCCGCCAGTACGAACAGCTGCTTAAAATCTTGCAAGACGCTTGGCGATGCTGTGGATGATCGACTTCAGCCCAACAATCAACCGTTGCGGAATGAGAGGAGAAGCAGCAAGGCAAGAAGGTGAGTTCTGGTAGAAAATTTGTGGATAAGCGTGTTGTCGTAACTAATCTCATTGTCCTATGCAGGATGCCGATCAGGATTTCTACTAAAACCAGGACAGTTCGGCTAACTCGTCGCAGTCCTCGGTGGGCATTGATGACTATTGGGATGAGGCTCTGGTCGACGACTATGGAAGCACTCAGAATGATGACAGCGATGACTTGGATGGTCACAACAACTAGCCACCTATCGATGGGCGTAAGTTCTCTGTTTTCTCTTTTGTTCCACCTACTTATAATCCTTTTGTACAGAGCAAGGAAAAGAACCCGGCCGCAACGAGTTGCGTTACTATTGGCGATCAAGAGATCATGGACTGCAAAGAACAATTCGACAAGCAGCGGCAGGCAACATTACTTGGGCCGAGCAGGGCAGTAAATGTAAAAGTTGTACAGCACTACCTTAAAAGCGTGCTCCGGCGGTCTTAAGCCTTCTGCACCATGTTTTACATCATCGGTTTCGACCGGGTAACTTTTCCTTATTTCCCCCTATTTTCCATTTATTATTTTTTCTTGGTTCTTCGTTTTTCTATTTTTGTATCCCCTCCAGCTCCAGTGGCCAAAAAAGTGCTATAGAGCGATCCCCTCTTCTTACCCCACCAGGTAAAGTTATTAAGTTATTATTTATCCATTTACTTTATTAATATCTTTCTTTAATTTTAGGAGGTCACCCCCTCCGGTGGCCATGAATACCTCTTGCATGCCCGTGGATACCGAATTACCCACCATCGTTTAACTGGGGCTTCACACTTCAGGTCCTCCGGTTTAGCTGAACGAGTGGGCGCTCGATGACGGCTGTCCACTCCAGGCGCCTACCGGCTGACATCGCGAGCTCCCCACCGGCTCTTGGGACATGACTTACATCGCGCGAGCTGTGGCCTCTAGCCTGGACGACCTTTGGGTCCTCTCGGGATGTGTAAGGGATGTGCTCCTGGCTGGACTGTGGCAGGCACTGTCTGTCCTCCTGCGGGCCAAAGCCATGATGCCACTACTGTGTCGCTGAATCGACAATGTGGCGTCCCGTCCGCTGCAGCAGGGACCACTGATCGACGGCAGAATTGAGGGTTCACGCCCACGGTAATCAAACGCTGGTCTTCAGCCTCGAGGCGCGTAAGTGAAGGAGTATATAATTGTGCATATATTTTAAAATGTATCTTCCTTCACAGAGGGCTTATGTACCCTATCCAAGCATTACCGAATCGTATCCCAGCAGGACAAAAGCGCACCCCTTGCAAGAGCCCAAATCTAACAAGCCGACGTCACATTTCGACCTGGCCATTGAAAACTATCTCAAGGACTTTGGCTATGGCAACCAAGGATACGCGGACTATCAGACTATAGATAGATCTCGTTGTTAATAGGTTTAAGGATACACACGTCTGTACATTTAGATAGTAGATATAAATATTTCCAAATTGTTAATTTCTTTATAGTAAGTTAACGTTATGATGAATAAAACTATTGAAAAATTATCCTTACTGTATCCTGTATCGGGGAAACAATCCCGACTACAAAAAGGCGTGGCAGGACCAGATCGGTTCACAATTAATGGAGAAAACTAAATATTTTTGATTGGGGAAAATGTCCTTGATCCTTGATAAGGACTTCATAAAATCAGGGACGTTTTTCCGATCACAGGAAGCCGTCGCATGTCACGATCAGGCCTCAAATAACGGAGAAAACAAGCGGGTTTGTAATTTGCTATTTTTGAAAATGTAGTTCAAGAAATCACCAATGGGGGCGCCACCGTACAAAAGAGAAAAACTCGCGTCAAATGGCCAAAATCTGGATGGAATACCAGGCGAACAGAAATCAGCAGCAAGCAACTGTAGCAAATGCAAAAAAGTGGTGCATACTTTTGGGGGACCACAAATTTAAAAAATTCAGTTACCTTCTGCTGATTTCTGTTCGCCTGGTATTCCATCCAGATTTTGGCCATTTGACGCGAGTTTTTCTCTTTTGTACGGTGGCGCCCCCATTGGTGATTTCTGGAACTACCTTTTCAAAAATAACAAATTACAAACTCGTTTTGTTTTCTCCGTTATTTGTGGCCCGATCGGGACATGCGACGGCTTCCTATGATCGGCAAAAACTCCCTGATTTTATGAAGTCCTTTTCAAGGACCAATGATCAAGGATATTTACTCCAGACATATATATCTTCTTTACTCCGTTATTTGAGGCCCGATCAGAACATAAGACGACTTCCTGTGTTCGGAACAATGTCCTTGATTTGATGGAGTCCTTATCAAGGACTAAGGATAAGGGGTATCTCCTTTAGACATATATAAATCTTGTTTTCTTCCTTATTTGTGGCCCGATCGGGACGTGCCATGGCCCTCGTGATCACAAAAATGTCCTTGATCATCCGCAAGGACCTCAACGAACCCAACCGTACATATCTAGTTTTCTTGGCTATTTGTATGCCGAACGGGACATGCGACAGCTTCCTGTGTTCGGAATAACATCCTTGATATAATGCAATCCTTATAAAGGACCAAGGATCAAGGATATTTTGTCAAGACATATATATCTCGTTTTCTCCTTTATTTGTGACCCGATCGGGGCGTGCCATAGTCCTCCGTGATCAGAAAAGTATCCTTGATTTGATGGAGTCCTTATCAAGGATCAAGGATATATTCTCTAGACATATATATTTTTTCCCCCTCATTTGGGGACCGATCGGGGCGTGCCATAATCCCACGTGATCAGAAAAATGTCCTTGATCCTTCGGTAAGGACGCCAAGAATACATATTTACTTTGAGGCCCGATCGGGACGTGCGACGGCTCCCTGTGATCGGAAAAACGTTCCTGATTTTAATGAGTCCTTATCAAGGATCAAGGACATTTTCCCCAATCAAAAATATTTATTTTTCTCCGTTAACTGTGAACCGATCTGGGCGTGCCACGCCTTTTTGTAGTCGGGATTGTTTCCCCGATACAGGATACAGTAAGGATAATTTTTCAATAGTTTTATTCATCATAACGTTAACTTACTATAAAGAAATTAACAATTTGGAAATATTTATATCTACTATCTAAATGTACAGACGTGTGTATCCTTAAACCTATTAACAACGAGATCTATCTATAGTCTGATAGTCCGCGTATCCTTGGTTGCCATAGCCAAAGTCCTTGAGATAGTTTTCAATGGCCAGGTCGAAATGTGACGTCGGCTTGTTAGATTTGGGCTCTTGCAAGGGGTGCGCTTTTGTCCTGCTGGGATACGATTCGGTAATGCTTGGATAGGGTACATAAGCCCTCTGTGAAGGAAGATACATTTTAAAATATATGCACAATTATATACTCCTTCACTTACGCGCCTCGAGGCTGAAGACCAGCGTTTGATTACCGTGGGCGTGAACCCTCAATTCTGCCGTCGATCAGTGGTCCCTGCTGCAGCGGACGGGACGCCACATTGTCGATTCAGCGACACAGTAGTGGCATCATGGCTTTGGCCCGCAGGAGGACAGACAGTGCCTGCCACAGTCCAGCCAGGAGCACATCCCTTAGAACTCCCGAGAGGACGAGGAGGTACGGCGGACCCTGGGATCTAATCCAGAAAGTTCTTTTAAGAATTTTTCGGTGTATGAAGGGGCTATATGGTTAGTATTCTATATTCTGTATGGTTATTGATGCTATACAGCTAAAATGATTACCAGTATTATATTAGTATATTATACTCCACCGGAAATAATGAAAATGGAATAATTTTAGCGCAGTTCGGGTGAAAGGCATCGTGCTTTTTTAAGTTGTTTAAGTTCAGATGAAGTTGGCACGGACCTACAAAAAGAATTTGAAATCAAATAATAAGTCGTTAAATTGTTGAAATGGATGGGTCTTAAGTGGGTTAAGGTCGTATTTTCATCGGAAAAGCGAGTATTTAAAAGTTCATTAATTGGATAGGTTCAAAATTATATGGGAAAGGCTGAGAAATCTATCTCCCTTGTAATGTTCCACGGAATATCTAAATCGATGAATATGTTTTCCAATCCTTGACCACTAACCTACTGTATGGTTAGTGCCTTGACGGAGAATAATTAACCCATTGTAGACCATGGGGTATTTTAATATATCACCGAAAATAATCAAAATTTTATCATTTTAGCGCAGTTCAGGCAAAAGAAACCATTTTTTTTTTTTTAAGTTCAAAGAAAAGATGGCATGAATCTAAAAAAAGAATTTGAAATCAGTAATATTTCCCACCATGTACCTCAAGTCGTCGAACTGTTTAAATAGAGGGGGCTTAGTGGCTCGTTTTTTTATCACTGGTCACACTAATTATCACACTAACTCTCTGTATTTTTATTTACTTTTTTTATGTAAACTAGTTAGTTTACTCTTCGCATTGCCACGATAACCTCCTCTCTCACTATATCGTGATAGAACTATTAGCAAGGGAATACAAGCAGAATTATTGCAGCCCCACCGAACTCAATGAGGCAGCAGGAGGCGCAACAGCTGTTTGTGTTTTGCTGAGGGAGCTCCGAAGTGTGTAATTGCATGAATGAATTCGATTCTGAGGGCTAATCGAAAGCGCAGCAGAACAATAGAAGCCAGCTCAGGGTCAGAAACACACCCGAATGCATCGAAACGACGACGAGGAGCGCCTCATTGAGAGCGCGGATCAGGACGATGAGGAGATTCTTGGGGCCGAGGGAAGTTTCGTTCCCGCCTTTCGACCCCATGATCCGGATTACGACATGGAGGACGAACGTTGCCTGCTGGAGCGACAGGAGGATGAAGTGGTCCTCGTGTCGAATGAGCCCGCATCGGGAAAGCTCTTCACCTACGTGGTCTTCTACCTGCTTGGCATTGGAACGATGACGCCGTGGAACTTCTTTGTGACAGCGGAAGATGTGAGTATTCATGAAATATTTCCACCCGCATTTTCCTTTATGAAACTGCACTTCGAACCTGCATGTGGGCCAAGCGTAAATCTGCCGCCGTTGTCGTCGCCAGCGTCGACGTCTAAGGCGCGCTTATCTGCTTTGGCATTGTTTGTTTTTTTTTTTTTGTTACGACAGTTGTTGTTGCTCGCTTGTGGCTATCGTCTTTAGGTTTTCTTTGTTTTGTGCTAATGATGGGGTTGAGTCACCCTTCAGCCCTGGCTTATACGAAAATGTGCTAGCTCGTTGACTTTTTTTTCATCCTTTTACAGTATTGGAAGTACAAATTCCGCAATACCACTCTCAATGGCAGTGATCCGGACGAGGAACTGACGCCGCTGCAGAAGAGCTTCACCTGTGATTTGGCCCTCACGGCCACCATCTCTGGCACGGTCTTCCTGATCCTCAACGCTATCTATGGCAATCAGATTTCACTGAGGGTCAAAATGCTGGGCACGATGTGGACCATTCTCGTTCTGTTCGGCGTGACCACGGGCTTTGTGGAGGTGAACACGGATACCTGGCAGGAGCAGTTTTTCTTGATCACACTGATTATTGTAGTTCTACTGAACTGTGAGTGCATATATTTCACGTGTCACATTTATGGCTAATGTTCGACTCCTTTTACGATGCAGCCTCTGCGGCGACCATGTCGGGTGCCCTTTATGGCATCGCCGGCCTGTTCCCCTCAGAGTTCATAACGGCCGTAGTCAGTGGACAGGCCTTGGGAGGTATCCTTACCGCTCTGGCCTTCATCCTGGTACTAGCTTTTGACACGGGCCCCAACACGACGGCCTTCATCTTCTTCATCGTGGGCGGCCTGGTCATACTGCTCTGCATTGTCTGCTACATGATCTTGGTGCGACAGCCGTTCTTCAAGTATTATCTGGACGGCGGCGACAAGTACAAGGTGATTAGTGCGATACCCTCGCACAGCCGTAACGAGGAGACGGAGGGCGTGACACTTGAGCCGATTGCGCGGAAAGTGATGTCTAAAATATATCTACATGCCGTCTGCCTGGCACTACTCTACACGACCACGCTGTCTGTCTATCCAGCGGTGACTGTGCTGATGCAGTCCGAGCATTCTGCCAGCCACACCGAATGGACGGGTATGTATCATAAACTCTCTTTCGGATTGTGTCATAAAATTATTCATTGCAGATATATACTACCTGCCTGTGGTCAACTATCTGTTCTTCAACTGCGGCGACTACTTTGGACGCCTCTTGGCTGGCTGGCTGGAGCGTCCCATTAATCAGCAAACCACGCTGTTGCTGACCATAGTGCGCATGCTCTTTATTCCGTTATTATTGTGCTCCAACACAAGCGAGCACAACTTCCTGCCTACTCTGGTGGAGCACGATTATTCGTTCATCACAATGATGATTGTATTTGCCTTATCCAACGGGTATTTGACCAATATCCTGCTTATCATGGCGCCTAGGTTAGTAGCACTCTTTGAAAATCAGTTTGACTGTAATATCATGAGATCTGTAGAACGTCCAATATGTACATTCTTTAAAAATTGTATTGTATTGAAAGCTACGCCAAACCGCCGGTCTTAATTAATGCTGCTTATTCATTCAAAATGAAAATTTCCATTTGCTGAGCGAACGTTTGCAATGCAAATTTCAGCATTGACTTATTTCATTGCCATGTTATCGGACCAGCACTCGGCGTAGCTGCACTCTACAGAAGCTATAGTGATAATTTCGACCCATCCCATATGCTCCCCAGAGTAATGTTCTGATACTACTGTGCACTACTTACTAATCATGTATTTTAAACATTACAGGAGCGTCAAGCAGCACGAGAAAGAGTTGGCGTCCTCCATTATGGCGGCTGCTCTGAGTGTCGGCATGGCTGTGGGATCCCTGCTGAGCCTCTGTTTCGTTCAGATGTTGTAACCTGCAGGACCCGCTGTACCTGCCGTTTTCAATGGTGCCTTAGCCAATTTTATGTATAAGTTTTATGTTTTTATGTTACCTGATGTTCTTCAAATCGTTATTGTTAAGCATTTAGGTCAAGACCTTGCCGTGTCCCGTGTCGATTTCAAATCGTTTTGTGATCGTCTTAGTAGCTCCAAAATCCGCCATTAATCTGAGAGATTCTTTTATATCACATGTATAATAACATTTAGCTTGTAAGTTTAAATTTTTTGAATATAAAAATATAAGGTTTCAAACACTTTTTAAACGCAGTCAAGGCGGGATATTTTCTCTTGGTTTAACGTTTATTTGTAGTTTTCTGCAGATCACAACAACAATGTGGATTAATTTAATTGTTTTATGCTTTCGATATTATTCATTGTTTTAACTAATGAACTCCATTGTAAACACTGACTTGTTTTAATTTCATTGATTTAAGAATTTACAGATTTGTATTTAATTTTTGTCCAATTTTATTGGGCGCCCTGTGCCGAGAACTGGAATCTTTGTGATTTTGGGAAAGTATATTCTTCGCCGACCTACCCCTATTTGATCGAGATGTAGCGCCCTGCTCTAAACGATCGGGGAAATTCGGATTACGGGGCGTGGAGTCCAGAATGAAAGTCCGATCACAAAAACATATGCCACGGCCAGATCGGTCGATGCATAGTCGAGATAAAGGCAAAGAAAATCTCGGTATCAGGCGAACAGAAAATGCCAGAGAGCGTTTTTTACAACCCTATTTTTTCTGCCATTTCTCATCCGATCTCTCATCGTATCTTTTAGTAAGCGAACGTTTCAAAATAGATTTAAATCAAGAACAATAAAGACATTGTTATTTTTCAACTAAATAGCTATAACACTTGACATTTATATTCCGATCTATTCACTACACGCCTCAAGGGTGTATTTTTCATGCCAGTTTTGGATGGGAAAAGTCATCTTGATCGAACGTATATCGTTTTTTTTCGGTTTCGCAACGCTTATAGGATTTCTTTCGGCCGATCTACTCATGGAATTGTGTGTGGGGCACAGGGCGATTTATTTTGAATGGAAATATACTGGTTATATGGAATGATATCCTTTTTGGGTCTTTGGGTGAATACTATATTAAATTCTTGCTAACATCAAGAGAGATTGGTTTCGGTAAACGTCTTATAAGTGCCTTGGCAATATTATTGCAACAATGGGGTTCCTCAATACATACATACATATATATGTATATTTATATATAACGCTAGGGTGTCTAAACATTTATTTAACTAGATTTTTTTAAATTTAAGTTTAAGGTTATTAGGCAACAACAAATTCGTCAGTTGCTCTGTCCAAAATTTCCATTTGCTATTTAGGGCCTAAACTGGGTTTTCCATTTCCATTATATTCCTTATTCTTTTCGTGCCGTTTCTTCTTCCTTTTCACTGTTTATTTGTTTATCAGTTTTTCTTGGTGTTTAACACCGATTTTTGCTTTTCAATTTAAATCTCATTTTCGTATAAGTTAATGTTTAGGTTTTACGTTAGTGTTCTTTATCCATAACTTAGTTTAACAAACAAACACACACACGAACAACAAACATTGATTAAAGCCTTGTCATTGAAGAAGTGGGAAAGGCAAGGGGGATTCTTGTCGGCTGTGGATGGGGGGTGTTTGGCGCATGCAAAAGATAAAGATCAATTTGCGATTAATAAAGCAACTACAACAACAACGATAAGTATAAGGATAAGGATAACGATTACGATAACGGTAGCGAACAACATCGACAGCACACAGATACAGATGCAGATACAGTTGAAAGAGTAATGCTTACACGTAGTACAACACCAAAACTATTTCGAATTTCTGCTGAGCTGGTAATTCTAATATACGAGTATGTATGGTTACTGTACTATATGCTGCTGTATTGGATTAATCGAGCCAATTATACAATTACATAGAGAGATATCTGCGTTTGCGTGGGGTACACGTAAACCCTCACACTCGCACGATAGACACCGATTGAGAGTAGACAACGATAAACGATAGACAACCAACACCGATATCGATGCCATAATATCGAAGAACACGATACACATGTACAATATGTATGTGGCTTTATACCAATTCTCTGGTTATTGCTTGCTTGCTATACTCGGATATACTCGTACATAAGTACATATCTTGTGAAACAATCTTATTATGAAAAACTACGACACACATTCAAATTCAATTACAACATCAATTTGGGAGAGACACACACATTTAGAGAGTGCTAGAAGGAGAGAGAGACACGGGAGATCTCTCAATCCAGCTGGGGAAAGATTCTTGATAGTCGATTCTTGAGTAATGGGAAATTACAACATCTAAGGTGGTTCTGCCGTCCAGTGAAATGTACTTTCAACTTTCAACTTTGTTTTTGATTTATCTCATAGTGTTCGCTAAGAATTATGTTTTGTATCGTATCTTTTTTGGGGGGTAGGGTATGTATGCTGAATTTTGGATTTCGTTACAAGGCAGCTTGGGTAAGTTTTTTTTTTTTGATTCCAATAGTTTCTTTTTCGTTTTTGGTTTTCTTTTTGATTGGTTGGTGTTCGATTACCTAGGAGAGTGGTGTCTGGTCTGGTCTACAACAAAGGTTAAATATACTCGTAAATTTGCATATTTTATTGTTTGATTGTCTTGAGGCTTGTTGTTCTTTTGGTATATATATATATATATATATTTTTGTTTTTCTTTTTTTTTGGTGTTGTAGGTTGTGCGTCGTCTGTGTGTGTATAATGTGTATGCGTGTGCGTTAGAATAATGCTTATAACAAATTAAGAACTAAGAAAAAATACAAAATACAAAGTAAAGACCCTTAATGTTTAAAAAGGGGGAAAACAATTCGATAGAGAATTTTATTGGAGTTTTTCTATCAACTAAAATGAACGTAAGAATAGTGACTGAGGGAAAAAAATCATTAATAAATAGCAACCAACCGATAAAATAATTGACTAAATGTTGGCTTAGACTTGTTGGCGGCTTCCGCCGCTTCTGTGCGCACGAGATTCATTCCATTCCACAAATTATGCGGAAATTGTGCTAGCGAGCGCCCTTAAGCTAATCGTATAAATTGGATTAATTAAAACTGATATAAAAGAGTAATACACACAACCACATTTATCATTAGAAAATGGAGCACTTGACGCGATGCAGACTCCCTCCCCCGCCTATTCCAGCCCATTCCAGGCCTGACCTGTCCCTGCATCGCCTAGTCTGCTTGACCAAATAAATTATACTTAGATTCTGTCACGTTTTCTGTTCTGCTTAACACTTAGACACTCACAGTTTCGCCGAATTTCGAGTAGGAAGAAACCGGTACGGCTCGGCTCCGCTTTGGATCCACATGGATCCTCGTCTCGCCCATCCATGCACTAGATATAGACCGATAGTTACAGTATACAGATACAGATATAGAGATACATTAACAGTTACACTACAAATACATCATACATCATACGTCGTACATGCGAGAGCGTTACATTCTAGTTTGTTCAGTATGAAAAAGCGATTTCTTGCACTGCCTTTCCGGGTTAGGCTTAGGATTTAGATACCCTAGGATCTAGAGTCGAGGTTGAGTTCCCGTCGAAAATGTATTAGCTTAAGAACTACGAAGACTTTTTGTTTTGTTTTCTGTTTTCTATTTTCGGTTTTCTGTCGACAATACTGAACACCGACTGAAGAACTAAAGAACCACTTTCAAGAATGGAGAGTTTACGTCTTCATCTCCGTTGCCGCCGCGATGCTGTGGTGCGACCTGGCCGGCGACACCGAGGAGAGTCCGCCCGCAGCTCCGGCATCCAGATTCAGAGTGAGATTATTGCCCGAAATGGCCGACGAGCCGGAGCCCGAGCAGCCGTGATGATGGGGTCCATGGAAGAGCACCAGGAAGCCATTGTTTGAGACGCAGCTGCGAGATTCTGCATCCTTATCGAGTATTTGACGAGCCTTCAAATGGCAGAGAAGATTGTTAGATGAAACACGGAACGGATACGTATGGCTGGAGCCACTCACCTTGGAGCGATGATCGGCCAGGGCATTGCGCACTGAATCGTGCTGCTTCTGCAGGTCGTCCGTGCGCCTGTCGAACGTCTGCTTCAGACGCACTCGCTCAGCCACTCCCCGCTCCACCACAGAGCTGGCCACCTCCCGCTTCATCCTGGAAGAGAAGAGAACATCAATGAAGGCGGAAGAACCCAGAGGATGTCTGGAAACCCACCTGACCAGCTCGTCCCGATCCCTGTGCACTGTGGCCAGATTCTTAACCTCGTTGCGGCGTGCCTCCTGCAGCTGGTGCATCACCTCGCCGGTGACCTTGTCCAGGGAGGCCTTCAGCTGCTTCATCTGTCCCGTTTGGGAGGTCTTCAGCACCTTCTCGGCGGCGGTGTAGATGGCCTCGTGGTACTTCTCCTGCAGCTCGCGGTACTGGGCCGTATACTCGCGACAGGCGCTGCGCAGGCGCGATTCCTGGGTGCCCTCCAGACTGCTGCCACCAGCTAGATCCTCGCCAGCGTCGGCTGCGCCGGCACTCTCCTCGCTGCTGTCGCCCAGGTCGAGGGGGCAGGCGGGGATCTCGACGCCCGGTTCGCTGTTCGGAGAGAGACAATTACTAATTTCAACGGCGTCGTCTGGCAGTGGCACACTCCCCACAGCGAATCCCGCCGCACACTTACAGACTCTTGTTGCTCAGCCGCTTCACCAGCTTATTGGTGATGGCGAACTTGGGCTTCTTGCCCTCGAGGGGACTGCTCTTCTGGCCGGCGATCTTGAGCTTTTCCTTGTCGTGCTTCTTGCGCAGCGACTCCAGCTTCTTCTCCATCTCCAGGCGCTTCTCCTTCACCGACTTGTGGTCGAGCAGCTTCTCCAGGGGCTCCGCCACCACGGGATCCACGTCGAACTGCGAAGACTCCACCTGACGGATGGAGGTGCTCACCGTCTGGTCCAGCGAGTGCTGGTGCTGGATACTAGGAGCCACAATGGATTCGCTGTCATCGCCCGCTCCACGCCCACCGCCCCCGCCGTCTGTGCGGTCCGTTGGCGGCTCCACACTCCAGGCGGCCGCCGCAGAGATGCTTGCCCTGTGCTTGGGCGAGGTGGCGAGCGACTCGACCGGACGCAGCTCCTTCTTCTGGCCACCTACTTGGACGAAAACGACTGGAGGATCAGAGAGAGAATCGAGCAGGGAGGAATCGAGTGGGAGGCAGAGAGAGATTCAGGAGGGAGGGGCATTGTGGTGTAGGTCCGTCA